TCCATATTTTCTTAACTTCTCACAACTGACTATGTTTTTAAAAATGTTTATCAATCTGTGGCACCTTTACCTCTACTATTTATAAACAAATTCAGGTTTTCACTGTTCAAAATAAAATGAGATGAAAATTAAAAATAAAATTTCTCCAGTCTGCTAGCCTGTCACTGCCATGTTAGCCTCCTCAAAAGAGAGATTCATCTCTTCACTCATTCTCTTGAGCTCTCATTTTTCACCCACTGATTAATACTTTCTGCCCAAAACATTTCTAATAATTTTTAGTTTAGTGAGTTCTAAGGATGACTGTGATTAAAATCCAAATTAAACTAATATAAACACAGTAGTTTCCATAATGACTGTGCTTACAGGTTACTTAGTTGGAGGAGGATATGGAGAAAAAGGTAGAAGAGCAAGGGCTGGTGTTACAAAGATGTGCTTGTCAGAGAAGAAGCAGCAAAATAGAGTGGAACATGAGAGGAGTGAGTTGCAAGGCCGGTTAGTGAGATGCTGTCAGAAGACAGTGGAGAAGATGGCTGTTAGGAGTTGGAGACCATTATAAATCTGCTTTGCCCACACAGCTCATCATGGAAACCAAGCAAGGCCTTCAAAGTTCTCTCCAGATCCTGCAGTTTTTGCACCCAGACGGTCTCTGAAGCAGCTACTCAACTCTGCTATTATACTGCAGATACAGTTCTTAGCTGCATAAATGAATGGATGCAGCTGTGTTCCAATAAAATGTTATTGGTTGAAAACATTCAGTGGACCCTGGTCCCAATTCTTATGACCTATATGATTGAGATACTTACTTAAACAGGGTCCCTTCCTCCAGGTAATTTCTCTCTTCCTCTCGATTTACCCCACATACTGATGCTATTTTTGTCTGATTTTCTTTGCATATAGCAAGAACTAAGAAAATGTGTTTGAATGAAATGAATGAATGAATGAAAAACATTCAAAAATCATAACCACTATGACCCTCCCAAAAGTGATTTTGTTAGTGTTGAATGATTCCACCAAAGCCAAGAAACCTTTATTATGGGGGAGACAGGAATTGGTAAAGGTAATTTTAAGATACAGAAAACAAAACAAAATAAAAACTTGTTTTTCTTAGAACTCAAACATTAAGCAAGGAACTTTAAGCATACCCACACACCACATATGCATAAATATCTGAAATTTAATTTGATACATTGCATTTGTGGTCTTCTATTTACAGAAACTAGATATTATGTAGAAGTACCAGTTCATTCAAGTCATAAGTGGTAAAAGTCTCAACATATGCTGAGTAGATTGCAAGCAGAATGTTATTATACTAAAATATCAATAAAATATGTGAATTCAGCTTGTAACTGTCACTAGGTAACAGATACCAATGTGGATCACCATTGATTCTATAGAATCACTCAATTCCCGAGCCTCAACTTCCCATCAGGTAAAAATGTATCAAAATTATGAATATTTTACAATGTAATTTTATTATGTTATTAAAATTATTTTCTCTATACAATTATTCTGTTGGAAAAAACATGTTTGTGTTTCCCTTACTATGTTTTCATTTATAATTCAGCAGTTGTGATTTGTGTGAAATATATCAATTTAGGAATTATTTAATTCTTTCTTTAATGGCATTATCACATTATTTTTTATTTCTGGTAGGTATTTGAAGTTGATATTTAGCTTTTAAATTCATTTAGAACAATCTCAATAGGGTTTGAAAAGACTCTTGGGGTCCAACTTGAGCTGAATAATTTAGAAAAAGTTCAAACTGCTAAAAACATGTAAAAATAAATCATGCGAAATGGGAATGCAAATGAAACAGGTTTTTTATTTTCCCTCTGAGAAATAACCTTAATTGTGTGAGAAAAAATGATATTGCTAGTAATGCTTCAGGTAACAGTTTTAGCAGAAATTTTTTAAAAGAACTTTGTAAGGCATGGGATGTTGGACCACAATCAGTAAGTTGGTCAGGTCAGTTTGAACTCAGTCATCAGCTAGATCTTTGTTTAAAGCAGTTGATGAATAAATTACTTTTTTCATGTTGGTGAAAAATCAGAGCCCCAGAATCTTTTTGGCAGCTATAGAGCATTTGACATGAATTTTTTAAGCAATGAATTATTCGATGGCATTAACGGCAATTTTCTTTTTCCAAATGAAAAATTTTATTCATGGAAGCAAGCAAAAAAAAAAAAAAAAAATTAATACCAGACCAAGAGGGATTCTTATTTTTATTGTGCTCTTCTCTGCATAACCTTTACTTCAGTTTCATTGTTACTCACAGAGGTTGGGTGATTTATCTTATAAAATTTATTCTTATTATTGATGAAAATATGTGTACATCTTCTTAATCAGAATCACATGTAGACTTTAAGGCAGGGACCTGTAAACATTTTCTGAAAAGGCCAGATAGTAAATGTTTTAGTTTTTGCAGCCAGATGGTCTCTGCAGCAACTACTCAACTCTTCTATAATGCCTCAAATACAGCTCTTAGTCATACATAGACCAATTTGTGAAGCTGTGTTCCAATAAAACTTTATTGATTAAAAACATTCAGTGGACAGAATTGAGCTGCAGTTTGATGACACCTTGTTGAAGGGATTATCTTTGTGTAGAGGTAGGAGAGACAGGTTCAATGGCTTAAAATATACCAATATCTTATTCTCTATAATTTTTTAGATTTCAGTGGCTCCCGAAATAAATATGACAACTAAATTAAGTGCCAGAGAAGCTCCTAATTGCTTTCACTGGATCCTTCTATAATGTCATATCTTGTTGACTAAATTCAATCTATTCAACTTATATCTACAGAGTACCTATGCTGTGATGCTGTATTGGCAAGAAGTATGATCTGAAGTATAACTAGCCCAGTTCCTGAGGCCTAGCTTTGGAGAGGCGACATTTCAGGTTTTTATTTTCAAAATAGGAACGCAAATGATTTTTATCTTTTCCCCATGATGCTGGCCTTCTCTATATGTGATGCTACATCCAATTCTGCTAGCTTCTGGGTCAGTTAAGAGAGAGGGGACATTGACTTTGAACTTCCCCATGTCTTCATTCCATCACTTCCTCTCTAGAACTTCAGATGTCATAGTGTTCCTGAGCGTTTACTTATTTTACTTAAGAAATTGATTTAAATGCTAGTGGACTATGTCATAATGTTTTACTTTAAAGTCTAAGGGAGTGTTGTAGTTTTAATTCCTGTGTCTTTTTGCACTATCTGAGTGAGCAGCCATTTCATTTCCCCTGGGGAGATAACTGAGATATACACATACCAGGGATGTCAAAAAATACATACACATTTTAGGAGATGTTGTCTATGTATTACTTTTAGTTTGCTGTGGTCAGAAGTGTCTAGATACTGATGGGAACCACTTTGAGCACCTCTTGTAACTGCAGAAGTCAAATGTTATATATTTATCTTTGTTATCATATATATTGAGTATTACAATTGTAATACAATTGTTTCCTCTTAAAATGTGTATACATTTTTTGGCAGTGTGTGTGTGTGTGTGTGTGTGTGTGTGTGTGTGTGTGTGTGTGTATCCACTTTCAAAACTCATGCTTCTGGAGAAAAGGGTGTGCACTTCGAAGGAAAGAGCAGTAGCAGCAATTCATATGTTCTTCCAGCTTGCCATTGTGACTCAGCTGAAGAGAAGTAATATGTTGATTTTCAAAAATTGTTTAAATGTTACATTCAATGTTCACATTTCTGATAGATTTAAAGCAATATTTCTAATGAAATTTATTAGCAACTTCTAACTGCTGGCTAAATCATTCAATTATTGAAGGGCTAAGATTTGAATTTACCACCAAAGTTATGAAAAGGTTTATCTTATCCAAAGAGGAAAATAAATGATTTTTAAAATTCTAAACATGAGATAAAATAGTTTCATAGACTGCAAACTATGAAACTAGAATTCATAGTAATCCAAACACTAGTTGAATTCAATTCATTGGTAGATGTAGTTTGAAAATTAACATTTTCAAGCTGTAGAATTTACTGTACTCGAATTTTGTGTGCTCAATAATTGTTGTGACTTTTAAACAATGATTATTAACAGTTTAGACCATTTATTGCAACCAAATAGGTGTGCATCTTCCTTTTAAAACTATAATATTTTTAGGGTAAGACTTTCTGTATTAATTTTATTCTTTGGTTACACTTTAAAATTTTGTCAGGATTTCCACATTGGTAAGATAACACATTAGTTAAATTATGTACCATAGTCCCATAAAACTATCATCAAAATAATACAATGAAGTTATCAGACTACAACATTCCTTAGAATACTTGGAATAAGTCATAACTTTTGTATATGAAATCCCATAGACAGTGGTCTATTAAATAGATTAAGCTGGGGACATAGCTCAATAGTTGTGCTGTTAAAATTGGCTTCTGTATATGAATGAAATGGAAGTACACTTTTGATGTGCTAGTGTCTAACACCCTATCACATGACTTGAGTCCAGCAGTGACCATAAAAGTAAAAGTTAATGAATACAGGTTGAGTAACACTTCTCCAAAATGCTTGGTGTTTTGGGTTTCAGATTTTTGGGGGATTTAGGGTATTTGAATATACCTAATGAGATATCTTATGGGTTAGAACACAAGTCAAAACACGGAGTTCATTTATGTTTCATACACACCTAATGCACATAGCCTGGAAGGTAATTTTATTTTTCCTTTGTGGACAATGAATAAACTGTGCTGTGTGCTTGCATTTTGACTGCATGGAATTTTCCACTTGTGGTGTCATGTTGGCCTTCAGAAAGTTTTGGATTTGGAGACATTTCATATTTAGGATGTTCAGATTAGGAATAATCAGAATGTACTTTTCATAGATTCGGTTCTAGCATCAAAGTTGGAATGAAAAGTTCATGTGTTCTAGATGTTATTTTGCAGTTTCTAATAGCGCTTGGTATAAGAAACACGTTGGTATAAGACGGAACATGGGTGAGAAATGTTCTCTGGGAGATCCTATGCTGATGGCTTTGTCTTTCCCCAGAATCTGTCACTGCGAAGGGGATGAAGAGAGCCCCCTCATCACACCCTGTCGCTGCACAGGGACCCTGCGCTTCGTCCACCAGTCCTGCCTCCACCAGTGGATCAAGAGCTCAGACACACGCTGCTGTGAGCTCTGCAAGTATGACTTCATAATGGAGACCAAACTCAAACCACTCCGGAAGGTAGAGTGTCTGGAAACAGGGTTGGGAGGGAGAACTTAAGAAGCAGACTTGTCTTAAAAATCCCACACCCTTTGTCAATAAGACTCTCCTAACATGCTGGTATCCACAAAGGGTATGTGTCCTGTGCTGGGCTTACCACACAAAATTCAGCCAAAGAGTTCGCAGATAATCTTTCCTTTCTTCTCTGTTTTATATTCCAGGGCACATGATTCATATATCACTTTCCATGATTTCAAAAAGTGTGTGTGCACATAAATATGTATGTAGAAACATATGTACATATATATGCAAAATATACTTGTAATTCAATGCAGTTGGATAGATGAGAACTGTAAGAGCATTCTACTTACTGAGGTCAGTTTCCAAGAAGAGTAGATGATAGATTACAGTAAACAACATGAACTCATCAAATTTCTTAGAAGTTGGTTATTAGGTAATAGAAGAGAATGATTTATTCTGTAAGATGTGGACTGTTATGTTTGCTTTTACTTGGGGATTGGTTTGATGGCTCATAATTAGAGTAGGTAGAAAGAAAAAGTATCAGATGGATTTAGAATCTATCATACTCAGTGATCTATCACAGAAACAAAGAACAGAGTACCATATGTTCTCATTCATAAGTGGACCTTGAACAATTATCATAAATCCATAAGAAAGGAATTGTCAGTAGTGGGAAACTGTGGGGGGGGGAACACTTTATCAAAAGTGTACCTGTGTAATGAACATTTGTATACCTAACCCTGAATTGTACCGCACATCTTTAAAAGAAAATTTTTTTTAAAAGAAAGAAAAAGTATTATTTTCTATATTGTGCATCAAGCTGTACGAGAGAGGTAGGTATATTTTGTGTATAAAATTTATAATTGAGCCAGGCTTGGTGGCTCAGCCTATAATCCCGTGGCTTTGGAAGGCTGAGGTGAGTGGATTGCCTGAGCCCACGGGTTCGAGACACGCCTGGACAACTTGGTGAGACCTCATCTCTACAATAAATCAAAAATTAACTGGGCATGGTAGCGCGCACCTGTAGTTCCGGCTACTTGGAAGGCTGAAGCAGAAGGATCGCTGGAGCCCAGCAGGTCGAGGCTGCGGTGGCCGGCAGTGTGCCACTGCACTCCAGTCTGGGTGACAGAATGAGACTCCAACTCAAAAAAAAAAAAAATATGAGTTCATCATTTATGTCTTATTTTTCTCAAGAATAAAAGTAAGACTGTGAGTCAAATATAAAGTTAGTGTCTCACCCAAAGCCACCAAGGACAAGTTGTAAAGGTTACAAACAAAAGAATGGACTTTACATAACCCATGTTTGATAGCCAGGCCCTGGATTTTAGCATGGAACTTATCTTTTTGCCTAACTACAGCCTTTCATATAAGGATGCCTCAGGTTCCAAAGGAGAATATGGAGACCACAATTTATGTAACACATCAGCCTCCAGCTGCTTTTTCATTTAAATCAAATAAAGCAAAAATGATAGAAAGAGCATCACTTGGAAATAAACACTATGGATTCTAGACTGAACAGAGATGAGAAGTCAACAAGAATATCCTAGGAAAAAATAAAATTAATGAAATAAAAATAAAAGTTATACCAAAGGAATAAAAAACACTCCAGTAGGCATCTGATTGGTGGCTGGCCATTGTAGTTCTTCATTAATTCTGTAAATTGTGGAAAGGGAGAATATCATTCTCAGCTTTTGTGGCAGCCCAATTTTTAAAGTCTCCACATGATTTATAAATGTCAAAAATTATGTGCAAAATGCCTTTGGGATGTAGACTGACTTTTTTTTTTAACATACAGGGTGACTGAGTACCACATGATAGCATCTGTTCTTCTAGGGATCAGGTAATCGATGCCAGCAATGGTAATGGGTCCTTATTTCTGGCCCCTAGTTTTATCCGCTGAGCAGACATTGGTGGCTGTGTGGAGTGAATAAAGGACACTTTGTGCTCCATGATTCTCTCAATTTCTCTTCTTCCCCCCAGGGAACTACACAGTGTTTCAAAGCATCTGTACGTATCTCCATTTTTTTCTCACTCTACCTTTATATAAAATTTTGTTTTAAATTTGTCAGGCAAATTGAGAGCAACAATCTAGGATAATAAAATTTTATCTGTTACAATACCTACCATAGCCCCCTCCCTCCCATTGTTTGTTTAATAAACAAACATGATGCTGGGAAGAAACTTGAAGAGTTTTCTTCTACCTTCAGTTTTCGTAAAACATCCCTTAAATACAACTTTGATCCTTTCTTAATACTCCATTCTCAATAATTGACAACCTTATCAAGAAATCATTTTTTCTCAACACACTTACTCATAAACCAGAGAAATTTGCCAAATACATCTGTCTTTTTAAATATTCATGAGACTGAATATGTTGCTGCAAGCCAGTGGGCACCTGGTATCTGTGGGTTAATGAAACATCCTACTTTCTTTTAAAAAGCATGTTTTGGGTTGGTTGTAAATACTGATTAAAGACTGTATTTCAGCATCCCTCACTTTAAATAGCATTTGTGTATGATGGGATGTCAGGATCTAATCCAGAGGCTGTATCCTGAGAGCCTGCAAATGTGTTTCAACGGAGCTACAGGGCTTAGCATTAGAATTTTTAGTTACCAACATTTAAATATATGATTGTTTCATGTGCAGTTCTACACATCTGAATTTGCTTGAAAATCACAGTATCTGGCTTTACTGGAGCCACACCAACACGTGACAACAACTGGTGGAGCTAAGTGGTAACTGGTCCTTTAAAAGGCTATCTTCTTTTAAGTCCCGCCCCCACCCCTTTTCTCAGCCTTCACTCTGATCTGGAGACCTCGTGTCATTTCCACTCACCTGAGTACCTCTGTGGCCCTCATGTAGGCATCTGAATGGTCAACTCCTATTTCTAACACGTGTCTGGACATGAGGGACACGCATTTTATTCCTCCCTCCATGATTTATGGGCTTTAAAAAACTAGGGAAAGCATTCCAAACTCTCACTTATCCTTGAAAAAATGTGGGGCACTGAAATAACAATTAGGAGGCAGTGTTCATAATGATTTTTCAGATTCTGAGGCAGTGTGAATTATACAGATATGAGACTTTTAATACTGCTTTGTATGGGTTATTTTGATGGCACTAAGATTCATCAAGAACTTTCTTTGTCTTTTTTAAATGGTCATAGAGAATGCCAGGTATAGCATTTGGTTAGAATATATTTGAAGTACATCTAATTAATAGCTCTCAATTCAGTAATTCCATTACAGTTTATAACATTCTAAAGACCAACTACATGAAACGATTAATTTAGCTAATGATTTTGAATTTCTTCCATTATCCAATGGAAGCAGGAGATTCTGTTTAGAAGAAATGACTTCTTAAAGTAGAGAGGTGCAAATATGCATAGACAAACCTTGGGGCTTAATAGGTATCAGTAAAACATTAATTCATTAAATGCAACTATTACTCCACCCAAATCTACATTTGGTAAAATCATCCAAGTTTCCTAATGTTTCCAGAAGAAGATCTTTACAATAAAAAAAAATCAAGGGCTTATTCAAGGAAAAGCAGTTTATATCATCTTTAAGTCAGTAGCTTAGCTACTTTTGTTAACACTCAATAAAAGTCTCATTAATCTGTTGAATAACCCAGGTTCAGAAATAATACTCAGGGCCCATAAAAGTCACAAAGTCACAAATAAAGAAGGCCCAGTGACTATTCGGTGCAGTTTTGACATGCATTCAATATCAATTAAGAAGCATCAACTAATCTTCTATTCTGAAGTGGAAGAATTGCATGGGGCTCAGATGTGACTCACTCTTGAATGGGAGAAACCAACCACTTGATAGGAAGCCAGGTTTGTGAAAACAGCAAGTGCTGCAGCAACTTTGTGTCTGCTGAAAATATCTCTTCATATATTTTGATATAGAAACTACCTGATAAATATATAATACAAAATATTCAACTCTATGCATCATGTTATTTCTTGTCTCATTTTAAAAAATAAAATGAAGCAGTGAATAAATTACCTTTGCTTTAGTAACAATTCGGTTGAGCTATATGCATGTGTCATCTTTGTAGGTCAAAAACACTTGAATATTGGAAAGTTCAGATAATATAAGTTCTGTGTAAATTAATGATGCCAAATAAAAAGGAACAATCATCTTGGTATTTCTACCATGGTGACTCACAGTGCTTTAGTTGAAATGTCTATTTAAAAAATAAAGAACTATATTTTTTAAATATTTGACAAATACTGTTAATTCCTCCTTTTCTTAATTTAATGTAGCATTGATCTTTCAGAAGAGCCAAAGGCCAGTGCAATTTACCATAGCAGTTAACTACTCAGTGGTTATTCTTGATTCTCTGCTGATCTGGATGTCTTATAATTAATAGCCTTAAAATTGAACAGGGCAGGGAATAAGGTCATATTCCTAGCTAGGATCTTTTTGTACCCTATTGAATAATGTTGCCTAATGACACCAAAAAGAAAATCAAAATAATGTCATTTACTTACCATTATAGGGAATTTGCTGTTTTACTAATATGACCACCATATACCGAATTTCTACTATGTGCCAGTTATTAAGGCTATGTCACTTAATTCAATCTTCATTACAATTCCATTTTATATAGGTTTTCCAAGCCCACTTTAAAGATGAGCAAAATGAGATACCATATCAAACTTACTCAATATCATACACTCCAAAACTGATTCTAAAGCATGTGCTCCTTGCATTTTGACACATCACCACCAATAGCTGAGAGACTCTCTCTATTTTTTGGAGTCGGAGTCTTACTCTATCACCTAGACTGGAGTACAGTGGCACAATCATAGCTACTGAAGCCTCGATCTGCTACGCCCAGATGATCCTTCCACTTCAGCCTACCAAGTAACTGAGACTGCAGGCATGCACCACCATGCCCAGCTAATTTTTTTATTTATTGTAGAGACAAAATTACACTACATTTTCCAGGCTGGTCTCGAACCCCTGGGCTCAGGCAATCCTCTTGCTTCA